CATTCAACAATAATTGTCCATGCCCTCTCCTCCTAGCTCCTGGCAATCATCATTCTACTTTCTGTCTCTATGATTTTGACCACTTTAAGTACCTCAGGTAAGTCGAATCATACTGTACTTAACTCTTTGTGGCTGGCTTATTTCACTTCGCATAGTGTCCTCAGGGTTCATCGATGTTACAGCATGTGTCAGAATTTCCTTCCTTTTTATGGCTGCGTAATAATCTTCATTGTATGTATATATCACATTTTAAAAACCCATTTATCCACTGATGGACACTTGAGTTGCTTTCATGTTTTAGCTCTTGTGAATAATGCTTCTATGAACATTAGTGTACAAATATCTTTTTGAGACCCTACTTTCAATTCTTTTGGGTGTATGCCCGTAAGTGGAATTGTTGGATCATATATGGTAACCCTATTTTTAATTTTTTGAGGAACTGCCATACTGTTTTCCACAGGGGCTCTACAGTTTTACATACCCACCAACAGTGCACAATGGTTCCAATTCCTCCACACCCTCACCAACACTTATTACTATTATTATTTTGATAGTAGCCCTCTTAATGGGTGTGAGTGGCATCTCATCACAGTTTTGATTTGCATTTCCCTAAAAATTAGTGATGCTGAGCATTGTTTCATATGCTACTGACTATTTGTATATCTTCTCTGGAGAAATGTCTACTTAAGTCCTTTGCTTATTTTTTAATTAGATTGTTTTTTGTTGTTATTAATTTTTAGAAGTTCTCTCTATATTCTGGACATTAACCGCTTATCAAATATATGACTTGTAAATATTTTCTCCCAATTCGTGAGTTGCCTCTTTACTCTGCTGATATTGTCTTTTGATGTACAAAAAGACATATGATAATTACTGTGATAATTGATCAATCATATGTCTTCTTTGGTGAAGTTTCTGCTTGAATCTTTTCCCTATTTTTAAAATTGGGTTGTAGTTTTTCTTATTTTTGAGTTGGAAGTTCTATATATGTTTTGGATACAAGTGCACTGTCAAATATGTGACTTCCAAATATTTTCTCTGGATCAGTGTCTTGCTTTTCATTCTCTTAAAAGTGTTTTTGCAGAGGCAAGTTCTTAATTTTGCTACAGTCAAATTATCTTTTTTGGGGGGGAGTAATCATGCTTTGGTATCACATTTAAAAACTGTCTGCCTTACCTTTTATTTTAACTAACTGGTCATACATTAGAGAAGGAAGGATTTATCTCTGTATTACTGATCAAAAAAGGTTTAAGGATAGAACAAGCCTCACTATGACACCACAGAATCCTTGACTATAGCGCATAGAGCATTTGCTTCCATTAACCATCTTCCTATGGGAACCGTATTGTTTTATATTTCCAATTGTTAAAAATCTGTAACCAGATTTTCCCCAGGCTTCTCAATAAGGATAATATTATCAAAGTTAGTAAGACATATATTTTAAGCACTGATTGTGTTATATTAAACATTGTGCTGAACAGGGAGGTTATGTTTTGAACAATCATTTTATAAAAAAGGATTCGGGGCTCGCTTGAATTTTGTTATGCAGGCATTTGAGCTCATCCTTAGTTTTGCTTACAACATTTATGAGGTTATGTGAAGTGAAAAAGCCACATCAGCAGTTAAAAAAGTGGTTTTGTATCTCACAGGATAAAATTGCACATAATCACGAATCCTATGACTTCCTCTGCAGGTTTGCATATCTTTTTTGATTTTTTGATTAAATAATCTTGCATGACACATTGGTGGTTTTCACTCTTAAAATACAAACTTAAAATCTTTACGGTGAAAGAGCAATTCCTGAGACTTCCCTGGTGGCTCAGTGGTTAAGAATCCACCTGCCAATGCAGGGGACACGAGTTCGATCCCTGGTCCAGGAAGATCCCACATGCCGTGGAGCAACTAAGCCTGTGCGCCACAACTACTGAGCCTGCGCTCTGGAGCCCGCGAGTCACAATTACTGAGCCTGCATGCCACAACTACTGAAGCCCACGAGCCTAGAGCCCATGCTCCGCAACAAGAGAAGCCACTGCAATGAGAAGCCTGTGCACCGCAACGAAGAGCAGCCCCCACTCGCCACAACTAGAGAAAGCCCGCGCAGCAACGAAGACCCAACGCGGCCATAAATAAATAAATAAATAAATAAATTTATTTAAAAAAAAAGAGCAATTCCTCTGAGCAGGCAGGGGGCCATGACTTCACCTCCCCAGGCTGCGCCCCTTTGAGGACAGCTCCCAGTGAACGCTTCCCAGCCCCCGCTCTCTTTCTGTCCTCACATGTATGGGGTATGAGTGTGAGGATGTATGAGGTTGGCTCCTCCAGAAAGAATGACCTTGCTCCACTTTTATTGTTTATTCTTATCTTTTATCGGTACAGTAGAATTTAAAGTGCATTTTGGAAAAAGCCTGTCGGTCGAAAAAGGACTATTTTGGCATCCAATTTTATTACATTCCAGTACATGCGGTAGTATGAATAAATGGCTAGAGACTGCTTCCAAACGATGTGCCTTGTGCAAAGAGCTAGTAACATAAAACGCAGAAAACGTCATTCTTCAGCTCAAGGTTCACTAGGATGACAGGCCGGGCCTTACCTGCCAACTTTTCCTTTAAATTGTCACTTGTCATCACTCATGCCATTCCCCTCCCCGCTTCTCCCAGTCCTGACCTAGGGAACACAGCGTCCTGCTTTCATTTCTCTGGATCACACATGGACAAAACCTTCTGCCCTTGGCTACCTTTAATCAGAGTGAGATCCTCTGGAATTTACAAACTAGACACACAGAATAATGATCAATAGCCCAAATATTAAAGGGCAAAGGACACCCAAATTTCAAAGAAGGAAAAACATAGAAATGAACACAAGGACACACCTCCAAACATAAAGAAACAAAGGAGAAAAGAAAAAAAAATAACAAGATATCCAAGTCCTCTATCAAAATAGAAACATCCTAAATCATCATTTTAATGCTGTGGTTATGGGGTCAAGAAGAGCACTCCCTTGGCACCCTTAGAGGGTGTGTGAATTGATTTTACTTCCCTTGAAAGCAATTTGCTATATTGTGAAGAACCTTGAAAATGTTCACAGCTTTTGACCCAGTAATTCTTGAAAAAGGCTCTGCTAAGAAAATGATCAGATATTTGCACATCTATTCGCAGATGTTCGGTCAGTGTGGCTTTATTTATACTAGTTCATTCTGGAAACACCCTAATATTAAATTAATGATAGTACAGCCATATGTTCAGATACCATATGACCACAAAAATCTTGATTTTAAAGGACTCAGAGATTACTTCTCAATATAATGTTAAGTGAAAATATGCTGATTTTAAAATATATTGGAAAGAAGTAAACCAAAATATTAAAAGCCATTTTCTCAAGATGGAGAAATTATGAGTGATTTTAAGCTTTTCTTTCCAATTACTCCCTCAAAAGTTTGGGTTAACTTTTTAATCAGACGATATAAAGTATTAAAAAACAGAGATTTACAAGAAAAATGTAAAAAGTGCAAAGCCTGCTCAGGTTATGAAAACATACTTCTGACTTTACTGTGCCTACCTAGGAATAAAGGCCTGGCTGTATCTCACAGCTTCAAGACCCCCTCTCCAGAAAGACCCCCTCTCCAGAAAACGCTTGGGGCTCTCTCCCCTTCCTTGGCCCCATTCCTTCCAGAGGAAGTGTTTTGTTGTAAAAGTAACAAATGCTCACTGTCAAACCTCAAACAGTGGGAAAGTATATAAAATAAGAATAGTAAATCCCCTCCAACTTTCTTTCCCCACTTTTTCTTTTCACATTAAAAACACTGGGGGATAATTTGCATATAACGATGCACACCAATATTTATACACAGTTCCATGGCTCTTGACAAAAGTCAGGATACAGGGCATTTTCACCACCCCCAAAGTTCCTCTGTGTTTCCTGGAGTCCATTCTCTCCCTATCCCCAATCCTAGGCAACCATTCATTTGCTTTCTGTCACTGTAAATTAGTTTTGTCTGTTGTAGAATTTCCTACCGATGGAATTACACATAATGCTTACAACATTGCTTTTGAGATTCATCCAAGTTGTGTGTCGTGGGTAGGTAATATTCTGTTGTATAACTATTATAATTTATCTATCTAGTCACATAGTGACTTCACTGTAATTACCTTATAAGGCCACAGATTCATTTCTAGAATGTGATAAATCATGTCTCCAAGTGTGAATACATTAAACATCTCTTACAGAGAATCCCTAAACCTAAGTCTTATCTTGGATGTGTGACAACAATATCACAAAGGGGTCAGAGCATAATAACGTTGATTCAGTTGGTTGAAGCTCACGTCTAAACCCGTACCTGTGAATAATGATTGTGAAGCAAGCACATTTTAGACATTCATTTTAGACATTTATGGATTCTAACCATGTGCTGTGATTAAGAAACCAATGTATTTGTCTTGACATACTACATTTAAAATCTGAATTACACATTTCATAAACTATGGATTTGCCAACTTTTTTTTTCAGTCATTCTGAATTAATAACACTTAATTAATGTTATTAACATAAACATCTGGGTAAATGAATATTGCATTAACTTATCTCAAACCTAAAAGGTAGTATTTAAGCAATTTTATATAAAACTCCTTTCAAAATATTTTCCTTTAAAAAACCCCCACAATTATAATGCTGGCAAGGACACGTTGAATTTTATGGAGATCCTATTGCACCAAAAATATAGGAAGATGAACCCCAAATATAATCTTGTAATAATTTCACAAAGATCTTGTACGATAAAGATAATTATGAAACTGGTTTGATGCCAGAGTAAGAGACGGGAATTATTTTGAATGGGGTACTTAACCTGCCATAGAGTTAACACAATTTTATTCAGATTATCAGTAAGAATGTGAAGAAATTATTGATATATATTTGGTGCTCTCTACCCTTCATGGAAATGAAACGGCCAGCCTGGGCACTGCGGGACAGAACCTTTGCCTGTGGCTTCTGCGCTCAAAGCTTACCTTCCTGACTCAAACGTGAACCATGTTGAGTCCCGCCCGTATCTCCTCAATGAGCTGAGAGGCCACATGACCAGCTTGACCTTGGCATTGTGGATATCCCAGAGATAGATATTCTCATGAGTGATCTGCATTGTGCATTCGCCATAAATGTCCAGGTTTGGTGTAGGCATAAGATACACGTTGAATCGCTCTGCAAAGAAACAAGGAATGGAGAAAATGAAGCCAAAAGAGGTGTAACTTTTTATGGCAGCACTGTATGAATTTGTACACCTACCTACAGCCTTCAGAAAGTGTTACTGTGTCCCTTGGTGACATCGATATGTACTGCGAAACACTACCTTTTTCTATTGTATGGGAAAAGGAGTTATTCTTAATCATTAATCCATTCACTCATTCTCCAACTTTTTGTTGCATGCATTCTCTATGGTGGGGATTAAATGGTTAAATTGTACAGTGGGAACATAAGGGCAGAAAACGAATTGGAGTCTGCCCAAATGCCGTAACTGTCCGCTTCTTCACATAATCTTAAGTGGATGTCATAGAAATAATTTCTGCGAGGAATGTCTTCTTTAACTTACACAAAAACGTACTCAATTTTACCTTTGAGGCGTGAAGTATTTAATGCCCACTCTTTGAGACTGACTCTCAAAGCATAGAGTATTCACGGTCACATTCAGCTTGTGATAATTGCAGATATTCATTACTGCCTTCGGCAGAACTTCAGACATTGTTTTGGTATGCAAAATAAAAGCACATAACTGTTTCATTCCTGGATAGTTTGAAATTGAAAATCTGATTATTAGGCAATGATTCCAAACCTCACTTTACAACTTTTCATGTATCTCAAAGGTTACCGCAAAATCCTGCAGCCCCTGATCCCCATTAAAATGCATTAGATGCACTTTATTTTGAAAAATAAGGTTAGTTGGTAAGTTCCAGGAAGTAAAGAACTTGGTATGACCTACAAAGTGTCCTACAAAGTATCCTTAGTTCCTAGCACCATATTCTTGGTTTATAGTAAATGATCAATAAATATTAGTTAATTGTATGAATGAAATAAATATATCCCACGATGAATATGGGCTGCAAGAATTGAGGAATTACAAAACAATAATGAGTCGTGATAACGAAAAGTTTAAGAATTACTGGCAGATACATTTTTGTGAGTTTGAATTTAATTGTGAATAGTTCTTTAAAGGCAGTGCTGTTGCATGAATTATTTTGAGAGGCATAATGGTGCAGCTGCAGTTTGTAAAGGATTGAGATGTTTAGAAATGTGCTATCATCCGTCATGATGCTACAATCTTAAACACTGTATGTTTGCTGGTACTGAGCTCGAATTGTCCGTATAATAGAAAGAATCTTTTCAGTGGCAGGTATTTTGCAAAGCAAGGATTTTCTGAGGCAAAATCAGTTATATTTAACTTAAGCACGACAGCTTGAAACTTAGTAACCATATGGTCAATATTGATGTTCAAGCGCCTACATATTCTGGGACCAAAAATAATCTAATGATTCAATGTTCTAGTTGTTGACCCATGAAAGTAATATGTATATAGATTTCACAATTATTTCCCAAAGAAAAGGCAAAATGAGATAAATTCTATAGCTGAAAAATGAAGAACACTGTCCCATTAATTATGTGCAATAAAAGGCTGTATCTATGTCTACATAGACACGTACATATTCCATAAACCTTAAAATTCTTGTGTGCAAGTATCTACGTGCAGCATTAAATACATCCCTCACTTTCCCAGCACAGTTCCCTCTCCAATGGGATTACAAGTAAATCAAAAGGGTATGATCTAATATGAGAATAGAAATGAAACTTGGACCCAACAGAGTGACTCAGGGCTATAGTTAATGCCTGAAGAGCAATATTCTTTTCTTTGCTCAAGACACTTTTGATGAAGTTCAGCTTCTACATTTGGAACTAACCATGTGTCAGTGGCATCTGTTGTGCATAGGGAAAATATTGTCATTATAAAAGCGGAAAGTGAAACAGTCCTCTAAATTTTTTCCTTTCCATCAATCCCGGAGTCTGAAGAGAGCATCGGAAGACTCACTGCCAAAATGCCAAGAAATAACAACACTTTTTAAAAACTCCTGAAATAAATAAACATCATGAAACAATCTTACTGTTGCTTAAGACTGCACTGACCCTTGATATTCACACCCATTGTTTGTAACTGAAAAAACGGAGCATACAAAAAAATGGTCCTGACATGGAGTGTCCTTCAAACGGATGTTCCGTGAAAGGTTGTACATAATCTACAGAGTATTTCAGAGGACCCAGAAGAACCATAACGTTTTCACAGAAATGTCTGCGTGCTCTAATGCTAGCAGATAAAACCTAACAGTAATAAACACAGAAAAAGTACAGTCATCACAATGGCCATTGGAGAAAGCTGGAAAATAATTAATACGTGAATTTATTATGAGTCACATGACATAGGGCTCTACACACCAAAGTCTTTGAGGCGCATTTACGAACAAGTTCAAAGTGATGGGATAACTCCCCTAAGGAGTCCTTCCAGGGCCACCTCTAGACAGCACAAAGCAGGTGAACCTTACCTGCATCCCTTCCCTCTGGCCTGCCTTCTACTTTCCCACTTTATTTTTTTTAACCTGGCTACTCAAGTAACCCCTTCTTGTTATGGTTTAGAATGCTCCTACCTTCTTTTTGATGCTGTTTCTTCTATCGTTAAGAAAGGAATTACCCTAAACAATTTTATTTTCAATTTTTCAATATTCAAAATTTATCTTCCTCTAAGGGCTAATTTCCAAGGATCTGAGATTCAATGAAAACGTAGGCTAATTAATCCAGCAGAAAACCAGGCACATAAAGATAAGGGCAGCACATCAAGTCATCTAGCAAATTACACTTCTTTGAATTCCATTTTAACGGAAGAAAGGTTTCTGCATTTGCTATGAAGAAATTATTTTATGCCCTTAGTAACATAAAACACATTGTTTTACTAAAACTTGTTATGTTTTCCATTGGGCCATTTCAATATGAAATAGTTAAAACTGGTTCCAGTAAAATGACTTTTAAAAATATTTACCTCTGTGAAATAATCCTATCAGGCAGGTTTTTTAAACCCATCTCTGATCATGTCACCTTTTTATTTAAGAAACTGCGTATGGGTTTTACTGCCTAGAGTACTGGTTTTCAGGTTTCAGTGTGCAGCAAAATTACCTGGAGGGCTTGCTTCAATACAGATGGCTGGCTTGCCTCCACCATTATTGTTTCTGATACAGTAAGTCTACCCCAGGGCTGGCTAATTTACATTTCTACTTGTTCCCAGGAGATGTTAATGCTGCTGCTCTGGGGACCACACTTCGAGAAGTGTCGATTTGTGAAACTCATTTAAAAATATTGCCAAGGAAGTAGCAGCATCTGAGAAACCATGAGGAATGCTTTTGAAAAGTGATGCTATGTTCCAGTAGAGCAAATCAGCACATTTTATTCAAAATTGTTTTCTAATCTCTGCTCAAATCAATTAATTCTATCTCAACTGACTCACGACTGACTTGTCAAGAAAGAGTTCTTATGCCAATTGGAATAAAGAAGGGAGAGAGGCATAGAAAGAAAGGGGGTATATGAAAGACAGTTTACAATTCAGCAAGATATGTATATCCCAGGTATGTCCTTCTGAGATCATCAACAACAACAATAAAAACACTATAAAGAAGCACTAAACAGCAGAGTTCCAAGTAGCCAAAAGAATTAGAAAAGAAACTAGCTGTCTAAATAATGATAATAATATCCTGAAACATGAATAAAATATAAAGTCCTGTGAAGACTGGTGAATGTGTGAAGAAATAAATTTTTGAAAGGTTATGTAAAAAATATTAGTTTTAAATGTGTTCACACATATAAACTATAGAATTCTAGAGCGAAAAATCCCAAACACATTGCCCATAAAACTGTATTTTGGTAAAACTTAGGTTTGTATAATGGCTGATAGATATATGAGAAAACATAATTTTATTTTAAATGGCCAAAACAATAACAAGGTGAAATATTTATAAGATGAATTGTTCTGTCCAACAAAGATGCTTACTGTTGTTGAATCTGCAGTTGCACTTACCAGGGCAGTTTTACTCTAGGGCTGGATTAAGAGGTCCAAAGGAAGAGACCATGCTCCAAATGGCCTTGACACAGGGTTAAGGTCACAACCACAAGAACAGTCTCGAGGGGGCTACAAAACAAGGTTTGGTCAAATTGAATTGGACAAGATCTGGCGAGAAAGGGTAGCTACACTCAGGAGAAATGGTCCTGGAAAAGGGACCGTGAGACCCCAGGTGATATGAGGGAGACCCTGAGAAGGATGGAAACCTTCCCTTTTCAGCCAGTGAGGTTTTACATAGATCTTGTTTAGGGCAGGAACTAACCCAATATAATATTAGCTGGAGCCTGGCAAGTGGAGGTAAGTGGAGCTTGCAGGTGCAGCAGGAAGCAGAGGATCACTGATGACGTTTCTGACATGAAGCAAAATACCCTCCAGTGACTAGAAGTAAGTGAACAGAAAACAAAAGGATGATGAGCTCTTCAACCAGTTGCTTGGTAATTTCCATCTTGTAACAGAAGAGATGGAACACTGGTTTTAAAGGAGAACCATGCTAGGGCTTCCCTGGTGGCGCAGTGGTTGGGAGTCCGCCTGCCAATGCAAGGGACACAGGTTCGTGCCCCGGTCCGCGAGGATCCCGCGTGCCGTGGAGTGGCTGGGCCCGTGAGCCATGGCCGCTGAGCCTGCGCGTCCGGAGCCTGTGCTCCGCAACGGGAGAGGCCACAACAGTGAGAGGCCCGCGTACCGCAAAAAAAAAAAAAGGAGAACCATGCTGAAAAACAGACATATAAGCTCAGCTAAGTTTCCTTGGTAATAAATTGAAATATTAAAAAAACAAGACTTCTGGAACTTATGTATTGAATAATTTTGTGAATCTACCTCATAGTAAACAGTGTCTGTGACTGCATGAATATAAAATACATCTTGTGTATATTAGCTGATTAATTAAAATAAATTTGGGAAATGTCTATTGGATGCCAGTCCATTCTTTTTTCAAAGAAGGTCCTGTAAGTTTTAGCTGTTAGCTGATTGCTGAGCAGTCTATCCCCCTCTGTCTATCTCACTTCTCCTGATACTTCAGAAGTTGTGGGTTTGAAGGTTGGGTCAAAAGAAAGGA